GAGGTGGTTAGGGATGATCAGGCAGGCAGGCTAGCAGTTAAGGGTGATCAGGCAGGCAGGCAGGTGAGCAGTTAGGAGCCAGTGGTCCCAGATTGTGAGAGGCAGTCGGACATGCCCTGAGGGGTCCCGGATTAGAAAGGGTGCAGGCCTGGCTGAGGGGACCCTCCCCATGTGCATGAATTTTGTGCACTGGGCCTCTAGTATATTTATAAAATAAAATGTTTTAGACTTCTCACCTGTTTAAGTGCAGTTAAAGTTGCTTTATGAATATTTTTAAAAGCATACAATATACCTAGTTTCTAATTCTGATGACCAATAAGTTCTAATTTTAATTCTCTGGGCCTTCTCATGAGTTTTCCACACATTCTGGTTTATTATCACTCATTTTGTTTTGGTTTTTGAAAATAACAGAGCTGGTCTCTGTCATTGGATGTGGTTTGAGTTTGTGTTCAGAGGTGACAGGGTTCTCAGAGCTGTCCCCCCTGTCCTGCCTGTGTGACCGCCTGTACCTCTCTCTGCAATGACCATCCCCTGAGGGTCCGTGTGGCCTTGGGTCACTCGCTCCATCAGAGATGCCACTGTATCACTGTTGCTGCTTTAGTTAGACGTTGTTGATTTCTGTAAAATATTTAGGACATACTTTTTTTCCATAAATATAATTTTATTGATTTCAGAGAGGGAGAGGGAGATAGAAACATCAATGATGAGAGAGAATCATTGATCGCTGCCTCCTGTATGCCCCCTACTGGGGATCGAGCCCGCAACCTGGGCATGTACCCTGACCAAAATTGAACCTGGGCCCCTTCAGTCCACAGGCCAACACTCTATCAAGGCAAGGACCCTCCATCAGCAGAAAGATCGGGACTCGCTGAAGGCTATGGTCAGCATTATTTAGCAATAAAGAATTTTTAAATTGAGGCATGTACATTGTTTATTAGACATAACACTATTGTGCACTTCATACCTATAGCACAGCAGGAACTTGACTTCTGTGCCCTGGGAAGACATTTGTGTGACTCACCTTATTGCAGCAGGCACTTCGTTGTGGGGGCCTGGACCAAGCCCGCAATCTCGGAGGCCTGTTTCCCACTGCGATTACCCCTGGGAAACAGTAACCACAATCCAGTTCACGGGGACTCTCCCAGGAGCAGAGCAGGAGGTTTCCATGGTAACAGTGGCAAGGTCTCCAGGGCGCACTTCTCGTCTCCTGGGGCTCCTGCTCCCATGTCCTCTCACCTGAGCAGCCCTGTGTCAGGCGGGCCTAGCAAACCTGCGGGGTAGCATTTACCAACAGAGTGCGGACCGGAGCGGGCATGGTCAGTGCTGAGCGAGGAGCAGGCCTGATACCGCCTTCCTGCCCTCCTGCCCTCCTGCCTTCCTGCCCTCCTGCCCTCCTGCCCTCCTGCCTTCCTGCCCTCCTGCCCTCCTGCCCTCCTGCCCTCCTGCCCTCCTGCCCTCCTGCCCTCCTGCCCTCCTGCCCTCCTGCCCTCCTGCCCTCCTGCCCTCCTGCCCTCCTGCCCTCCTGCCCTCCTGCCCTCCTGCCCTCCTGCCCTCCTGCCCTCCTGCCCTCCTGCCCTCCTGCCCTCCTGCCCTCCTGCCCTCCTGCCCTCCTGCCCTCCTGCCCTCCTGCCCTCCTGCCCTCCTGCCCTCCTGCCCTCCTGCCCTCCTGCCCTCCTGCCCTCCTGCCCTCCTGCCCTCCTGCCCTCCTGCCCTCCTGCCCTCCTGCCCTCCTGCCCTCCTGCCCTCCTGCCCTCCTGCCCTCCTGCCCTCCTGCCCTCCTGCCCTCCTGCCCTCCTGCCCTCCTGCCCTCCTGCCCTCCTGCCCTCCTGCCCTCCTGCCCTCCTGCCCTCCTGCCCTCCTGCCCTCCTGCCCTCCTGCCCTCCTGCCCTCCTGCCCTCCTGCCCTCCTGCCCTCCTGCCCTCCTGCCCTCCTGCCCTCCTGCCCTCCTGCCTTCCTGCCCTCCTGCCTTCCTGCCTTCCTGCCCTCCTGCCCTCCTGCCTTCTGGTCGCAAGGATGCTCAACCTCCCTTCCCCCCCTCCCCCACCTGGGTCTCTCTCTGTTCGGGCACCTCCTGTAAGTGGAAGCCTACGTGTGTTGCATGGATCTTGCTAAGATGTTTTTTAATCGAAAAAGCTAAGTCCAGTTTCTAGTCACTGATTCCTGGGGTTCCTCCTACCTGAACCCATCAGGAGCTTAGGAGCCCCCCCCCCCATCTTTTTGGTAGAAGCTGCTAATTCCAGGCAGCACCTCGGGGGGCATCCACCCCCCACGGCCCTGAGCCGCAGACATGGGGGCGGGGGCGGGGCGGAGATGGGGACACGTTCTGCAAGTGGTTGGGGTTGAGGTTGTCACACCACAGCCGCCCTGAAGGGAGCAGATGAGGAGGAGGCAGGCGTGCAGGGCGGGCAGAAGTGGGTACCGCCGTGAGTAGGAGACAGTATTTCCCATACCGTTTATGATATTATTGTGTTCATTATTATTTACCTACTTTTCCCGCCCTGTAATTGCCGTTAGAAACCCCGAAGGCCTTGCGTCAGGAAAGGCTCCGTTTTTAACTTTTCCCTCACGGTGTGTCCCGAGGGGCCGGACAGGAAGCAGGAATCGGACGCTGTGGCCATCCACGCCAAGATGCGTTTCTGCAGCAACAAATCACCCCCAGTCCCTCAACAAATTAAAAGTAGAGCTGCCGCAGGACCCAGCAGTTCACTTCTGGGACTATATCCCAAGAACCCGAAACACAGACCCAAAGCAGTGTCTGTGCCCCGCTCACAGGTGCCCGCGGCAGGCGAGGTGCGGGCACAGCCTGGGTGCCCACAGCAGGTGCTGGATGGAGCCGCGGGGCGTGGACCCAGTGGGATGCGGCTCAGCGGGAGGGGATGGAGCCGAGGGCGGGCCTGACGGTGTTCGCTGAGCGACGAGCCAGTCAGAGAGAGCGAGCACCTCTGGTCTCACTCACATGTGGAATCTAATGAACAAAATGAGCTGACAGAAGAGGAAGGAAGCTCCTGGGTACGGGAAACAGGCTGCTGGCTGCCAGAGGGGAGGATGAGCGGGTGGTGGGAACAGTGTGAGTAACACGCCTGCGCCTGGAACAGAAGGAACAGCAGCCACCGAGGGCGGTGCTGGGCCAGCGCGGC